GTATATCGAGAAACCCCCTCTTGTGTCTGTAGTATAAAGTTCACTGTAGGTGCTGTGCGCGAGAGATTCTGCTCAAGTCATTCTACGAGCGTGGTCATTCTACTAGTGCTAAGATAGTGTCGTGGTCTTAGAATAATAACACCTAGAAGCCGAGTCCGCTTCCGTAATATGAGGCAACTCAAACTAAGCCAGTATGGTTTAGTTCAATACTCGGCCCGTTATTGCTCAAGGTCGTGTCGTATTTTTTTAATAGGAGAGGGGGCAAACGAGCATGCAGCTCACCTGATGGTAAGTGACTACCGCCGCCCATGAACAACCGCAACACCAGGGGAATTGCAGATGCGTTAACGGCCTTTTAAAAAGGAGTAGGCTCTTTTCTTGAAGGTCCCTAAGTCGAATCGGTCCGGAAAAATCGATGATGGTAATCGATTCTACAAGGAAGTCGTGCGAGGAAGAAAACATCTTCTAAATCGCACAGTAGTGGACCGCCAATCATCTAGATGGTGTGGATGGTATCGGGAGTTCTGCCGCGATGTGCGTTCGTGAAACTTGACGGCTAGGATTAATCCGAAATATTCCTCAGAGCACTCCCCGTGGTAGATGCGAAAGAAAATGCAAAGGGATGCAACATCTCTTCGCAGTGCCAATGAGTCGAGCCGATCGGAAAGGACTTTGTCGTTGACGATTCAAGCCGCTCTGCGCTGGATGCGGTCAAGTGGAAGGAGCTGGCACTGGGGAGCCCCTGCCCAATAGATGGGAACAGTATTCCATGTGAGGCTGAACCTGCGCATTGTAAAGTTGCAGGCGTTTTGCCGGCATGAAATACTGTCCCGCTCTTCTGAGCGCGCCAAGCTTTTTAGAGGCCAATTTCGCCTTCTCTTCCAAGTGACCATGAAACTGCACGTCACTCGATATGTCGACGCCGAGGATTCCGATACTGGCTGAGGCAACAAGGGGAGTACCTTGAAACTGAGGAGATACGACAAAGGGGTTCTTTTTAGCGGTAAACGCGCAAACTTGTGTCTTCTGGGGATTAAACTGGACTAGATTTAGTCGCCCCCAATCTGAGACTTTGTCCAGCAAAGACTCGACTTCAGACACAAGTTTGTTCCGGTACTCGGCGACGTTTTCTCAAGAAATATTGGCACGGCCGGTCTATAGAGCATCAGCAGTGCTGTCATCCGCATAACAATGAATGCTACCGGTTTGCAACATATCATTGATATGCAGAAGAAACAGCGTTGGTGATAGCACACAGCCTTGTGGAACATCAGCGTTAATAGGCTTGTAGTCGGAGCATGCACCGTCTACAACGACCTTGATGCTCCGATCTGCAAGAAAGTTAGTGATCCAATTGCATAATTTCTCGGGAAGCCCATAGGAAAGGAGCTTCGAAAGAAGTGCTTTGTGCCAAACCCGATCGAAGGCCTTCGTAATGTCCAAACTAACGGCCAACGCCTCCCCCTTGGACTCTACTGCCTCCGCCCATCTATGAGTTAAGTAGACCAGAAGATCACTAGCTGATCGACCCCGACGAAAATCGTATTGGCGGTCACTAATTAGCTGGTGATCCTCAAGGCACCGCATGAGGTGGCAGTTTATAATGGATTCCATTATTTTGGAGAACAAGGGGGTGATAGCGATAGACCTATAGTTGGACGGGTCTGAGCGGTCGCCTTTTTAGGGATCGGGTGGACAAAAGCTGTCTTCCATGATATCGGGACTACGCCTAGGGAGTAGGAGTACCAGAAAAGACGCGTTAGAACCGGTGCCAACTCCAAGTTACACGAACGTACATTGCGGCAGAACTCCCGATACCATCCACACCATCTAGATGATTGGCGGTCCACCACTGTGCGATTTAGAAGATGTTTTCTTCCTCGCACGACTTCCTTGTGGAATCGATTACCATCATCGATTTTTCCGGACCGATTCGACTTAGGGACCTTCAAGAAAAGAGCCTACTCCTTTTTAAAAGGCCGGCAACGCATCTGCAATTCCCCTGGTGTTGCGGTTGTTCATGGGCGGCGGTAGTCACTTACCATCAGGTGAGCTGCATGTTCGTTTGCCCCCTCTCCTATTAAAAAAAATACGACACGACCTTGAGCAATAACGGGCCGAGTATTGAACTAAACCATACTGGCTTAGTTTGAGTTGCCTCACATTACGGAAGCGGGCTCGGCTTCTAGGTGTTATTATTCTAAGACCACAACACTATCTTAGCACTAGCAGAATGACCACGCTCGTAGAATGACCAGGCTCGTAGAATGACTTGAGCAGAATCTCTCGGGCACAGCACCTAGAGTGAACTTTATATTACAGACACAAGAGGGAGTTTCTCGATATACCCGCCATTCTACTTAGATCCAACCGGGTATTTTATAGACGCTCCGACACATAAACCATACCATGGGACATCTGCATAAAGTGTTAGGTATGTTCTTTTTACAGAAGCTTTTGTAAAATCAGATTTAATATACTTTTTAAATATACAGGTACAGGGTGAAAATTAATGTAAATCAGGATAAACGTTTTCTAGCTTTAAAATTAAAGTTGATAAATCTAAAATTTTATTTTATTTCTCGTTTCAAACTCTATTATTAGCATTTACAGCTTTATAGAATTACATGACAAGAATACATTTTTTTCGTAACAAATACTTTATATCATATTACTGTGAGGCGATCCAATTGACATAAGATGTAACTCGAGTGTAGACTGCGGGGTATCCAGAGGTACAACCACTCCAGTGTCTGTACGAAGTAATACCAACCTAGTAAAATATAAAATAACACTCATTAAAAGAACGGACATATTTATAAATACTCATCTTGATAGGCATAAGCCTCTACCATATTAGGGAGAATTTATTGATTTTAAAAACACTTTAAAAACGTTAGAATTTTCTAACGCCGAGATAATGTTATAGTATTTAACTTTTTTTATTACTTTTGTAGAGCCACACTACAACCATCAACTGTATCCTGACTTTAGCAAAAATAGGTCGGTGAGGACAGGGTAAAACCCATGATCCGCGAAATACCAGCGCAAAATAGCATCATATTGTTGCTGTTCTAAGTAGTGAGTGAAGAGAATCTGTAACATATTTTACTAGTAACGGGATATTCGATATTAATTCTCATATTCAATCTCAATCGCCTTAGCTTAGCACCTAAGTGGAGAACGTTAAAGAAATAGAGGGACGTGTCACATAGCATCCTATCGATGATGATTAAAAGAAAAATACGCATTACACAATGCATCACATTCTCCAAGCTACCGAACGTTTTCTACTGAGGCCTTGGCGCTTGATATTAGAATATAAAGCTTTAAATTATTGAAGCTAGAGTTCCTATTCAATGTCCAATAGAGCTTGGACTCTGGCTTCGCTTATTCTTAAATAACCAGCTACACTAGCTCACTCATACTCACTCACGCACTCTCACACACTCTCACACTCACTCACACACTCACAAGCTTTCTTGGCTTTTTGTTGGCAAATTTTTAATAGCAATCTTTTTAAAAATCTCGTTCAACTTCGTTCAACCACAGGATTTTTTGTCTCTCAGTCTCAGAGCTTAGACTCTTACTTTGTTCAATGAATAAAGCCTTATGTGACGATGAGTATTAAATACTTCCAATGAAAAAAACATATATTATTTAATAATAATGTCTGCGTGTTGTATAAAATCAAAACAATAAGCAAATTATATACCAAAATTTTTCTTCCGTTACGCGTTACAGCGAGGGGACCACCGGAGTCACCGTGACAGATACTTTGGCCACCTGCACCACTGGTGCAAATGTTTGTTGAGCGGTACCATTCCCCGAAAATTGGAGCGCAATCATTATGTTTTAAGATTCGAAGTTTCACAGACATCAGGCGTTGATTGGAAGTAATACCAGAATCTGAAAAATTTAAAATTATTCAACACTATAATACACATGAATGTTCACGGATTGTTGGATTTTCTTGAATAATTATCACAGCAAGTCATCACAAGTTCTTTCCCATAGATAAACAAAACCTCATATTTTCATTTTATTTCCACCTGAGCACGCCGATACGAGAAACTCGCACCAACAAAGAAAAATAGACCTAGCACTTTCGTGCTGCGTTAGTTTTCTTTGTTGCTATTGTAGTTGCTGTTCACTGTCCATTTCAATTAATGCCGAAATCTGTGCCGAAACCATGCTCAACTTTTTGGCACGCACTCCGCACACATCTTTCTTCTATCTTTTACATCCCATAAATTTTACTACTGTATGCTCATATGTACCTAATACCATGTTGTTGGTTGCAAATGCAAATGATTTTAGATATGTGTACATGAGTGCGTGTTCTTATATTAAATTGAGCATAGTTTTTGCGTTACTTGAAATGTGCGCAACGCTGTGACTTTCTTTCCTATGCTAGTCTAAATTGAGAAACTTTCTTGACCAACAGTTGTTGGTTCGTCGAGCTATATGACTTTTTAAAATGGAACATTGTGAAATGTCTACTTTTTTTTGTAGGTAGTCTTTAATTATATTAATTCTTATTATAATTCAAGCCGAACATAACAGTAGAATCACTAAAGTTTACAAGAACAAATTAAAAGTAAAGAGTGTGCAACCTAAGTAATAAGTGCCGAATGCCGTGTAGTGGCGTACTATTACTGCTACACCACGTCATGCGTGTAGTAAGAGGCGACAGTGGGAAATTAAATTGGAAATGGGCAGCAGCATCCTCCTGATAACAAAACAAAATAATAAAATAATTGCATTCACCAACCTGCCTGCTAAGCATGCCACCTAATGGCAAATATCTCTCCCGTAAATTACCCATCAGGAGGCCTATATTCAGTATTGGACTTTAAACAGACTTTAATGAATGAGTGAACGAACCGATATAACGGATAAAATGATTTATATGCAGTGTTATCAATAAATTTGTTGTTTTAAACTACTTACATACACAAAAAAAAAGCATTTCCATAAAAATCAAAATGTAATAAAAATTAAATAAATCTTATCATACCCTCGCCAATATACCCAAATCCAGAAGCAAGTGCAGTAGCACCGGAAAAGTTATTTGAAATATCTGTGCCGCTAGGAAGATTGATGGGTTGAATTACATCTGCAATCATAACATCAAATCATCAAATAACATCAATATTTTATATTTATTTTACAGTGAACAAAAATCTGTGAGTTGACAATTATAATAAACATTTAATAATAAGTATGAATCGAGTTAAAACTTCTGAAGTCGTCAGTAAGACAAAGTCTATTGAAAAACTGAAGCCCCAATTTCAGCGTTACGTGGAACTCTTATTTATTTATATCGTTTTGTTTCTTTTTTGTTAAGCATTTAATATTTCACCCTTTTGATAGTTTAAGGGATATCACAAGTTCAAGTTTTTTCAACTCTTAGGGATAGCAAAAAATTTTCCTCAAATTATATGATACCACCCCTGAAGCTTAACCTATTTAATTTAAAAAATATATTTATATCGGTTCTGCCCTTTCTGAGAAACCGGAAAAAAGGGACATAAAAATATACGAGTCGAATGCTGAACCTTCTCGTTTTAGAACTCAGTTAAAAAACAATGTTATGATGGGTAATGTCCAAAGTAGTACAATCGGTCAATGACTAAAGCTGCTTGACCTTGAATGCAATCAAATGAAAGCTGCACAGCAAAAATGAGAAAATATTTCCATGCGAGCTCGTCTTGCATTTAGTGAAGTTGCAAGCGTTTGTCCAGCACAAAATATCACCTACTTAGCAGTATCTATCTTCTGAGCAATTTAAGTTTTTAGAGGCCATTTGACCTTTTCTTCCAGGTGACTCCGGAGCTGAATGTCACTTGTATACACATCAACGTCGAGGGATGCCTTCAAAAATGAAGCCAAAGCTTATACGCTATCACGCTTTAAATATGAAGCGTTTCGCCTAACCCGATCAAATGCCTTCGCTCTTTCCAACCTAACAACTAAAGCCTTTTGATCTCGACTGTCTCTACTCATCGATGACTTACGATATGAGAAACACCAGCATGACAATCATATTATTATGGATTTATAATGAAGAAGTTTTAGATAGTGACGTTAGGCCTGTATGTGGACGGATCTAAGTGGTCGCTTTTGTTGGAAATTGGGTGAAATAAAGTATGTTGAAATTTCGGACAAACCGTGTACGAACCGATATCAATTTCGTAGCACACTTTAGCATATTTTTTATTTTACTAGGTGATATGGCTACTTAACAACGGAGGGGTCCGTCTGCGACGCTTTTATCTATTTCTAATGCTCACCAACTAAAATGTATGTAACTATAATGTATCCACTATGTTCCGGTTTGAACGGTAAATGAGCCAGTACAATACCTGGCTGTAAAACAACTGTGTAGACATCAAGGGTGATAACAGAGGCCTTCATTGGTTAAAGTTGATTAATTTTAATAATAATATCAGGCGCAGAACCAGGCCTCCGTCACTCGCTCAAGGCCCTGCGTTATATGCCTACCGTTCGGCGTATCGTCCACGATACAACCAACATTGGGCTGCCGCACGCCCGCCTGAGCGCTTGCACCGCCCACGTTTCCCGCGCTTACTCGTCGAAATGCCGAAACCACGTAATTAATGTGCAGTGGATGAGTATCAGAGTCAAAAAACAAATAAAAATTGTCATTTTTTTCTTAACTATAAGATTACATCGAAACAACACCATAACAGTGCTGTGATTTATAAATTGAGTGACAACTTGGACACCCAAATTTTATAATAAATTATATAATAAGTCTTAAACAATTTTGACAACGCCATAATGAATCGGCCTGGCAGCAGCGTGTTACAAATTTTGCAAACCATTGATTTTCCTCCGCTTTGCTCCTGTTTTCCTCATGATTATTTATTAAAATTATTTACGCGATTTAGGATATTTTCAACGATAAGACTTAAGTAATAACCGAGAATTCAGAGAAAGAAAAAAATGTATAAATCTTTTTATAAAACTCAAACATATATGATTGACAATTAAAACATATGGTCATTTCGCAAGATTAGTTTTATTACAATAATCATCATAGGTACAACCTTAGCGCATTCGTGCGATGACGCGCTTGCACGTGAGGCGTACGGCGGTCAACACAATCTCGACTCTTTACGCGCCTACTTATGGTTCATTTTCTTCTCGCTGCGAACAGCAGATATTATTATTAAGATTTTGTAGGCTATTATAGCGTAGGTATTTTCGCTTTTGTATGGGAGTGATGTATCTGTTTAGTAAACTATTAAGTAATCTGTGGCAGAACCGACGACTTCCTGACTACGGGCTGCTATTAAAAATTACTTCAGAGAAAAGCACAATTGACAAAGTTTCGATACCCACGTGGGTGAAGTAACCAGCTAATTCGGATCATAATACGCCTAGACTAAGGTATAATCTCAATGTGTGGATCTCCCCGCATAATTTAATGTTCGTACAATAAGTGATTATTGTAGTCCGATCCTTAACTTGCGCAGATCGTGATCAGCCTGGGCATTTTATAAAACGTCGCCTTTACGTGATTAGCCATTTAACACTCACCAAATCGTTCAATGTTATACTTTCGTAGTCCAATTGTGGAATTGGGCAGATTGTAATCAGTCTGGGCATTTCTTGATATGCCATAGCACTTTGTACATAATTTACTCGTATATAATATATAAATTCACGTGACTTTGAAGGCTGACACCTTAACCTTTACGAAATCTTTGATATTACTAGATACTTGTTTTTGTATTTTTAATAAATTAACAGAAGTCAAAATTATAAACTATCGGCCAAAGCATGAAATTGCAACGTGTTATGAAATGCCCAGGCAAATCACGATTTTCCTAATTCTAACGATCGGATTATGACGTAGACGAATTATTTACCTGGGAGTATAGACAAATAAGCTACTCTCATAGATTCGCCCGATTTTCTATTAGGCACATTGTGTTATGGTGGGTATGAAATGTAATTAATCAGGCGTTACTTTGCGGAAATCCATTATATTAAAGATGTTACAAAAATTATGTTATGTCTTTCCTAGTGTAATGGTGTTGGGAGTAGTGGTACTGAGATAAGTTGAGATAGTACACGCAATTAAGGGAGCGCGGGAGGTGTTTAGTTAGATAAGGCATATCATTTTATTTTATTACGCGGATCTTAGCTAATATTTTTTTAACATCGGGCCAGTATTAGTCCAAATCATGAATAGGCGACGTTTCACGAAATGCTCAGGACAATCACAATGTGTCCAATTCAAAGATCGGACTACGATATATATAAGCTGAATTATAGAACGTGTTAAGTGTAAAACGTACACACTTGTTTGTAGAAATATAATGTGCCTCTAACAATTCTTGAGTTCAGTCCGCTGCTTCCAAGAAATGAATATTAGAATATATATATATATATATATATATATATATATATATATATATATATATATATATATATATATATTAACTTATGTAGGTAGACTTCGTTGATATATATTTTCTATTAAATGAAAAAAAATCATAATAGTTCAATATATTTACGATTACGTCCCTTTAAAATCAAAGTTTACTTACTTGAGAAAGAAACGCGACTGATCCGAAGGACAGCCACGTCATTGACAGTGCTCCAGGGGTCCCAGTTAGGGTGAACGGCAACGTTTGTGGTTGTAATTCGTACACCACCATAGAAAATAAAATTGGAACCAAGTACAACGGTGAATGATTTGGCAACCATATCACTTTCAGAGTAGCAATGAGCTGCTGTGACTACACGGGTATTTGAAATCAGTGAACCACCACAAATTGAGTTTCCTTCTGCGAACGCCATAATTAAACCAGCCTACAATACATGATTAATTAATTTCATTCACTTAAAAAGGAGGCTTTGTTTAAATGTTGGTGTTGGACTTAAAAAAATAACCTGCAAATACATAGCCAAGTAACTCTATTATCGAAAACCGTAATTTAGTTTCAGTTTTTTTTTTAATTCCATTAACTCTAAAACCATGCGCGATATGAGAAAGGTTTAAAATAAAAATTGAATATCTATCAATTTCACGTAAAAAGTTCTTATCACCTTATTCTATACAACTCAATAGTTTTGTTGTTTTATAGTAAAAAATCAACTTTGCATTAAAACTATAAGAGATAGAATATGAAGTGTTGAGACTATTTTTGGAACATTACTTTATTTATATACCCGTAGTTTAGGAGATAATCATCATAACCGTTTATTTTATCAGTTTTTAAACTTCATATGAGTATTTTGCATATTTTTTGAATAAAATTTATTCTATATCCTTCCTGGCATTGCTCTCTATATGTTCGTTAAGTTTCATTACAATTGGTTTGGCTATTCCGAAGATTATCCCGAAAAGATAGGCAGCGAGACACAGACAAAAGTATTAAACATGGTCTTATTAGCATGCGAATATAGATTATAAATTGCAACCGAATTGAAAACCCCATTCTTTTTTGAAGTCATTTAATAAGGTCGGAGTTATGATCAATCCATTGTCGAAGAAATGGTAGCAAAATACATCCAGAACCGAAAATTACGTTTTCAACGTGTGGTAGTTCAATAAATATTTTAGACACTTCATCTTAAACATATTCATGTATAATGATCGCATTCGATGAAGTTTCTACGTTTACAGCTTAACTAAACTGAAACAAATTTATTTTGAATTTTTATCTCATAGTTTATTTCTAGTTTTATAACGATAAATCCTAAGTTCTAAGACTAAAGTATTATTTAATTTAACGAGCATACACAGAAAAAGCATTGTATACATACAAAATTAAAACGGTATGCCGTTTACCTGATAAGGCACTTGTGAAATATCCGTAGCACTGCCACCAACTATTCGTCCTAAATTCCCAGATCTTATAATTTCTTCTTCCAGCCTCTTAATTCTAGCTGCTTCGGGAATACCAATTCTCCTGTGATAGCCATAGATGGTTGTTTCCTCTACAGAGTTTATCTGAGCGTGTGTGCTTGACACGGCTAGTATTAAAACAACGATTCCTAGAAAAGCTTTCATCTTGACGCTATATGCATCTGTCAACTGATTTAAAAAATAATTTATATAATTTTTTATACTTTTTTTTATCTGAATCACCAATATAGAGATAAGATTATTTATAAAATTAAGTAAGTGAGAATGCCAGTTCTCATGTTAATCTGAAACATACATGCAGCTCTAGAGATAAGATTATAATTTATTGATAATTTATTAAGTAGCCCTTTACTTACAATTTCGGGTAGATTATCAATTATCATTTTAACATTAATACTAATCTCAAATATACCTATATCTCTCAAATACACAAATGTGGTTTTCCTAAAAATATCTAGAGTGTGTTAAGGATCTAACAATCCAAGAACTAACAAACTGTAGAAATAAATGTCCCGAATAATCTTAAAATTGCAAAGTTAACACCGATTCTTAAACCTATAACCATCGCTGACCCAGGTATTTATCGTCCTATTTCTGTGCTACCAAATGTTTGAAAAGGTTTTTAAGATTATATGTACCTATGTCCACTTGGATAGGTAAAATTAAATACAAAATTTCTTGTAATTAAGGATTTAGACAAAAGTCCAACACATTCTCGTCAAAAATAGACCTTATCAAAAAATTAACAACTAAAGTTCACAGCAGACAAATAGCATTGGGTATATTTATTAACCTTAAAAGAGCATTTGACACAGTCTGTCATTCATTATTAATAATTAATAATGAATGACAGACTGTGTCAAATGCACCTTCGGTGCAACAAAATCACAACAGCTCATTTTGTAATTTTACAGGACAAAGCTTTTAAGATTTTTTTCGCATTTATTTCCTTATTACTGGATTACTATCTGTGGTACGTTTTATATATTTATAAAATCAATTGTTTATTGTTTTTGCTATAGTTTCATGTAAATTGTTTATTTTTAATTACTGAAAAAAATCTTAATAAAAGCCATAATAAAAATGGCCTGAATTGTGACTTTGTTGCACCAGAAATAATTTTAGTTTTATGAAATAAGCATTATTATTTAAGATAATATTTTAAATGAAATAAAGTTTATTTGACAAGTATTTCATATATTTTCTTCTCAAAAAATCAACTAATAACAAAAATTTTTCTCAAAACAATTAGTCTTAAAAAGTACTAAATAATATAGCATCTTTTTCATAGTTTTAATTTTAATCAATTCTAGGAAAAGCAAATTTACATAAAACTCAGTCTTATAATCTTTAAAATTAGGAAGTCTTATTATGAGTCTTATAAATGGTTAAAAATGTTTAATCTTATAAACAATAATATTCTTATATAAATTCAAACTTATAGTCTGACATATTTGAAAATAAACTGGAATTATTTTCAAAAAAAAATAACGTCAATTAAATTGTATCAATCATCATACGAAACAAAATAAATTTAAAAATAGTAAAATTTTTGTTTTAGGATTAATTCAAACCAAACTTTTTACTTGTTTAAAAGCTTTAAAAATAACTATTCAAATAAACTGTTATATAAGTTTTCTTAATACTTTGGAACAATATTACCAGTAATTAATTGACGAATGTCTTGTTTCTTATTGTTTGTAATTGGCAATTTAGAGCTATAAGCAGCACTCAAATTAATATCTGTGATATTTTTCTTGCCTGAACGACTAATTTTAATTTTAGCTTCTTTAAATTGTTCAGTTTTATATGTGGTTTTGTTGGTTGCTTATAGGTATCGGAATTTCACTACTTTGATATCAGAAAGTCTGATTGTTTTGCCATCAATATTTTTGATGGTGTTTAGGTTAATATCGTTAGCAAGTATCTTTGAATCATAGAAACTATTAAAGTTGATTTTAACAATGAAACTATTACCAGTCTTTTTAGCATTACGAATTAGAGTAACATACTGATCTGGGGTGTAAATTGGTCCAGATTTTTTTGCTCGACGAATATGTTTCTCTATTATCGAGTTGACAGCATCCGCTTCATTTTGAGTGCGCCCACGAATCAAGTACTTGTGTTATAGATCTAATTGGCAAAGTAGAAACGGCATAATAGTACAGACTTAGAATGAATTTGTTTTTTTGTTGACCGCAATAGTTATCGGAGAAAAAAATTATATCTGTATATGGTTTAGTCGAAGAACATTCTTTTAAAAAATTGTACACACTAGAACCTATTTCATTGGCTCCTCGTTTACCCAGACCCTCGTGCCAAAAGAAACAAAATGTTTTATCATCTTTAATGTTGGTTACTGTAAAGTTGTAACAATTTAGTTTACTTTTATAAAAAAATGCCGACGATTGGCCACAAAGATGTTGCTATCTGGGTTTTTGCACTCGTCTACATCTTGTTTTTTTTTGTCAATGCTGCTTAGACTCTTTTCCTCTTGATGTAGATTATAGCTGGACGTTAGCGATTCTTTATCTACAGCATTTTTATAGGCCTCACATATGTGACATTGGTCTTTACGTGGTAGAAAAAAGCTAATATAAAATTGGGTATTGAAAATCCGATGGTATGCGTCGTAATTTGCTGGTTCCTTGTTGTTAGATAGACGGTTTTGTTGCTAATTACGGTATAGTTCGGCTACAGTCAAACCTCCATCTATATATTCTCTAGAAGAACTGGCTCTGATGTAGTGACTTTCGATCCTAGGGATTTATGTGGTCACGTACGTATTACTTCAGCATCTACCTTTGACTGCTTTCCGTATTTACCGCGTATAGCTGTTGGTATTACACTTACGCTTGCAAATTTACTTTCAATTACAGTACGTAGCGGCTTATTACTTATGGCTAATGTATTCACTAGAAACGTTTTACAAATCCTAATCTCTTTACCTCGATTAAAAAGAAAGTAAGTTGTGTTTGGTTTTCTACATTTTCTATTCATGTCTCCACCTTTTTTATCTTGAAAGTACGGATATCAGGTTCAACTTGCTTTACACAAGAAGCAAGGAAGTCACGCTGTCTTTGAAAATAATTAAGCTCCCAGTACGTCTTAAATATTATATTCCTATCATCTGCAGTAAATTTATTTGAACAAAACAATCGGCAAGTATTTACATAAGATGGACGAATGTTTTTTTGCGGCATGGCTTTACCTCTAGATGATGTGTATTTTAGACACTTTCTCTCTTGTTTTTTCCATTGACTAGGGTTTCTGGTCCTTTTTTTAGACTTTGGTACAGTATTAGCCTGTTCAGTACTTTCTTGAATAGTCTCAGAGGCTGCATTATTATGAATAATTGATACATTAGAAACATTTTTGGAGCAAGATGTAGATCCGGAGTGGCTAGAACTACTGCCAGAGCTGGATGAACTACTACTACTTGAGCTCGAAGAACTACTGCCAGAGCTAGATGTACTTCGGGCTGACTGTAAAAGTATTTTTCTTGGACGCTTTTTTTCGTTGGTTCATAATCAGATCTATCAGTCGCGGAACAATCTTCATTATTATCAGGGTTGGTTTCATTGGCATTCAAGAAGGTGTCTTGCACCTCTTTTGGTAAAGTGTTTTGTGGCTCTAAATCAATGTTAATTACACTGGAAGAAACCCCATCATTTGAATGATTACATTTTTTACTATCTGTAGTAAAAGCCACATTTGCAATATCCTTTCTTGCCATATTACCCGTAACGATATTTTGTAACATGGAATTAACTTTTACTTCGTCGATTAAAACTGTGTCCGAATTATTGGCATGATTACATTTTTTATAGTCGTCAGTATCTGAATGATCCATTTTTCTTACATCTGAAGTACTGGATATATTATTTATTAAGGAATGAGAGGTTCCTAAATTGTAATTATGATTATTGTCCTGATTTTCTGTATGAAAGTTCGCTAACCAGGTTTTAACTAATGCTTTGTTTTTTATGGAATTACATAATTTTTTTACTACGGGAAGCCATTGTTCTCTGAAATAAAATTGATTTTATTAAAGATATTTGTAAGTCAGATTCATCTGAAATCGAACCGAAGACCTCTGAAGTGAGAAATAAGAGTATACCACCACTTACAGACGTCGAGAAAAATAAGAAACTAAATAGTTGAACGAACATAGTTTCATCACTAATTAAAGTCATCAAACAGCCTCCGTAAAGATAAATTAATAATTTTAGTGGGGTGCCCCAAAGCGTGCTCGTTTTAAAATAATATTCAGGTAATAAAAATAATTTTTAAGTTTGACTTGAGCCAAATCGGTCATGGGATTGCCGAAAACATTTGGAACTAAACAATTCCAAGTCTTTTTATTATCCTGTAATAAATAATAATACTGGACCTACAAAACATTTTTATTGTGTCCAAATTCTTCGTCTAAAGCGTAATATTAATGGACCTAAAAAAACACTTTTTTGTTATTAACTTTGTAGTTCCAATTAGACATTATTACAAAAACACTTTTTAATTTAGGACTTTGTAGTGCCAATTAGTTTAGTTGAAAACTATAATGTTGGGCCAACAAAAACAATTTTATAATTAATGACTTTGTTACTTCAAAATTTTTGTTTATAACAATAAATAATTGAACTCTTACAAATAGATGAGTCTTTGTTGCTCCAATAAAACAGAATAAAAACGGTTAAGTGGCTATAGTTCCAAGACACTTCAAACTCTCGCGAGAGTGGGGGCACTACTGATCAATCAGACTTTGTCAGCCCAAAAATCACGGAAAAAGCACCAATAACCACAAAGGCACTCGCGCCATCTAGTAGCATTTTGAGATACTTTGGCGGGTGTCTTTGTTTACCCACACGAAGGCATGGTTCAAAGATAATTTGGCATACTTAACTCAATTTTGCAATTTTGGCTACTTGTGACTTTGTTGCACCGAAGGTGGAAGGAAGGATTGTTAAAGAAATTGAGAGATATTTTCATAATCAGATTATAAAAAAACCTTATCAACTACGGTGTTCCCCAGAGGTCAATATTAGGAGCGTTGCTGTTTCTAATTTATATAAATAATCTACATGAAATTAGACTTAAAGGAGACGTGACTTTATACGTCGATGACACATGTTTATTTTACATCT